ATACTCAAAGGATTATAAATCATTCTGTTATAAAGACGCATGCACACATATGTTTATTGTGGCACTGTTCACAATAGCAGAGACTTGGAATCAACGCAAATGCCCATCAATGATAGATTGGATAAAAAAAATGTGGCACATATACACCATGGAATACTATGCAACCATCAGAAAGGATGAGTTCATATCCTTTGCAGGGACATGGATGAAACTGGAAACCATCATTCTCAGCAAACTGACACAAGAACAGAAAACCAAACACCATATGTTCTTACTCATAAGTGGGTGTTGAACAATGAGAACACATGGACGCAGGGAGGGGAACATCACACACTAGGGCCTGGGGGGTGGGGGTGGGGGCTAGGGGAGGAATAACAGGGGATGGGGGGATTGGGGAGGGATAGCATTAGGAGAAATACCTAATGTAGATGACGGGGTGATGGATGCATCAAACCACCACCATGGCACGTATATACCTATGTAACAAACCTACATGATCTGCACATGTACCCCAGAACTTAAAGTATAATAAAAAATAAATAAATAAATAAATAATCATTTTTCTTCATTGCCGTGTACTGCTGAGTGCCAGGACACACCAGGTGTCACTGTTGCTTTGTTATTTTGCACCACAATGGCTAATGTGGAAAGCAGGCATGGATGCTGGTGACAGGGCATTCGTGTCGTTCTCTCTGCTTCCCAGGCCGTCATTAGGTTGCCTGCTCCACATTGTGGCTCCCTATCCCAATCTCACCTCTATTTCCCTACATATACTCAAGGAAACTTGGCAGAGAATTAGAAACTTTTAAAATGTTTCTCTTGGTTGTTAGTAAATTTGGCACGTTCTATAATTTCTGTACAATGTATGCATACAATAGTCTTGCATTCCGTGTTTAATTGTATTTTGTTTGGCCCAGAATATTTTTAAAACATTATCAAAAGTTTCATTGAGAAAAGCAAGTTCACTTAAAAGTTGTTAGAGTTACATGAAACGAATGTAGCATGATTATCCTGGTCGTTTTCTTGAATACTGATAAGGTTTATACAGCTTTAATTTTAGTTACACAGTGCCATCTATTGGATCTGTGGGGTAAAAACACTTTGGTATTTTAGCTGCTTTCTTTTAATTCCTTACTGTAATTCATTACTTTCCTAAAACAGAAATACTGTAGCCAGGCTTGGGTACTCATATTGTTCTTAATAATATACTTGCCAAAACAAAACTACATACAGCCTACAAACTTGGTACAAATTTTCCATGATGGATCTTACTACACTGTGCTTTATTTTCTTTGAGCATCTGTGTTTGTTTTGGAAATACAATCTGTGAATAGCTTAACATCGCCTTTCTAAGCTAAAAAGAGCTTTAAAAAGAGCTCTTGTTGATGATGCTCTCCCAAGTATTATTTCTACTCAGACCCTGTGTTTTTCATTGCATTTGTGTGTACTTTTTTGTTTACTGTCTTTCTACCCCGCTACACTGTAAGTCCCTCAAAGGTACCTGCAGTACAGATATTAAAGTTACTCAAGAGAATGGCAGGAATACTTGGAAAACTGATAAGGTATTCACATAAGACTTTTAAATTTTTTACTAGTGGTATTAGAAGGTATTGGTTGATACATCTTAATGTCTATTTCTTTTGCATGGAAAATTAATCAAAAGTTATTTTGTTTCTTAATTGTTAGATGTCATTTTAGTACTAAGCCTCATTTCTTAGAATGATAGTCTCACTTGTGGTCCAAAATCAACTAGTATTATATATACACAGAAGAGATACATTTTATTCAATTAAAGCACTTTTATTAAAATTAGTATTAACATAGTATTGGGCACACCCCTATTAATCCAAAAATACATGGAAAAGATTCACATTTTTCCTCAACTTCCCTATCACTTTCATGTTGTGTAAGCTTAAGCCATACAGGGCCAGAATCAAACAATAGCCAGGTGAGGTTTTTACAGCTAGTCTCTCTAACCTTTCACTTTTCCACTTAAGAGAAGAACAGAAAAGCAAGGGTAGACAGGGATATACTAGGAGCTAAAGATTAAGTACATTTATAAATAAAATTTTTTAAATCTGAAAATATTTCTGAATTAGATATAATTCCCTTGGTAAGGAAAAAAATAACTTAGGGAATTTTTTTGAAAAGTAGTTTGATTTTTTTAAGCCATACACACCAAGATGGAACTCAAAAGTAAGGTTAGCTATTTATGAGCTCATGTACACTACTGTGGTGCAGATAAGCCGACATCTGGAGAGTGCAAAGGGAAATCTCTGCTGGTTTTCAACATGGCCTGAGAGAGATGAAACAAGCCAGTGTAATTTAGAAGCCCTTGCCCTGTTGCCTGAAAATAAAATGTAAACAGTTAAAAAGCTTTTAACATTCTTTACTGTCACCTCAGTTGTCTGAAAACATTACTTACCTATCCATCATCTGGTTTCTAAAAAAGTAAAAATTGCAAAAACTCTAAGTGTATTTAATAGCCTAGACCCAGTCATGACTTGACTCCAGTTTCTTGTTAGACATTCATTTTCAGTCCTGCAAGTTTGAATCTGCCAGGACTGGAATGCATAGGTGTTAGTTGCCGACAATTTCACAGTAATTTTAGGCTGGGCCTGGCCTTGAGCAAAATCAGTGATAATAAGGTCAAATTTCCTTCCATTACTTTTGGCTTGTCTAGCAAATAATTGGATCATATTTGGTTTCTAAAATCAGGGGATTTGTTACAGCCTTTGGACTTTTTGAAAATAAAAGGATGAGAAAAGTAAACTTGGCTGAGTGAATGGAAACTGCAGAATTTCTCCCAATTTTAACTTCTGAAAGCATCCCCTGATCTCAGAGGTTGGAGTTGTGGAACAGAACAGTAACTGGAGTCATAATTGATAATTGCAGTTTTAATTCAGAAGAAGCTACCTGAACAGCACATATTTGTTGTCTTCTACTTCTCACTCTTCTGGCTCTCCATTTATTGTTCTAAGAATCTCTTTTTTTGTACCTGCATGTTTTTGCTTCTCTCTTGGCTCCTCAAATAATTTCTTTTTATTACTACCTGAAGAGAACAGGCATTTGTCACTATATGCCTTCCTAACAAAAAATTTGTCTAAAAGACTGGTGTATGCATCAGATATATGAATTTGTATGTGTGACTATGTATTTAAACAAAATTCCTAGAGTGTTTTAAAAATCCGTTCTGCCTCTCAACTTTTAACCATTAGAGTATATCAGGATCTCCTGAAAGTCCATTCTCTTGTCTTCTAGATCATTTTTACAATAATGCTTTACAATAACTGACCAGGTAGTCTTCAGGAGCTGAAGTCCATCCCATTTACCCAGCTATAACTCTCCTGTCAAAGAACACTCTGTCGTGAGCTGAGTGGTTTTGAGAGAGGAAAGGCTGTTCTGGATAAAACTTTTCCAACTACTTTGTCTCAGGCACAATGCTGTGCGCTACACATGTATTACTCATCTAATCCTTGACATAGCCCATACCAGTGGGGCACCAGAGCCCGTGCTGTGGATCAGAAGTAACCATAAATAAGAAAATCCAATACATCGTCTGGCTTTCTTGAGTCAAGAGATGGGGAAGAGGGCAGTGCAGAAATAGAGGGGAATGATTTTTTTTTTTAACGTTTAATCCTTTCCCTGATTTTTTTGAGTATTGTGTTAAACCTGTTTTCTTCTGCTCTGAGACCTCCCAACTGATTTCTGTAAACCTCAGCTTTCACGTTGAACATCTGGAAAGGGACAGTGGAAACTCAGTTTTCTAAGGCTGGAGCAGAAAACAGCCTGTTGCCCCTACCCCACCAAACTCCTGCTCTTCAGGCCTCCATTCAAAAGCAGTCTGCTTTACTTATATATTTTTCAGTAAAGAAAAATTTAATTGACACGCCAAAGTCTGCAATTCTCAAGTTTATCTTTAAATGTCATCTTTAAGGAGATTTAGAACAGCAATAAGGATCTCTGTGGTTTTCTCCTGAAAGCTGGAAGAGTTGAGAAACAAGGCAGACTTAATGCTGAGCTTTTTTACTTTTAAACTGTAAAAGATGTATCATGGTTTCTATGTATGTTTATGAGGAAGAAGCAGTTGAATGATTTATTTTTTTCAGTTCTGGCACAGCATGGCCAGCCACATTGTGAGTATTCTGTGAAACTTTTTTTTTTCTAGTAAAGTAGCAGAAAAGGTAGAATTGTCCTCATTGCATAAGTAAATAAACATTATTGCATATTTCTTCAAATAGTTGCATTTTTGAAGAAACAGTTGATGTGCTTTGGGGGAACTACGTAGACAGCATTTTGCTATGCAAATTAGAACTTTTAAAATCAGATCTAACTCTATTTATAATCTATGAAGAAACAGCAAAATGTGTGACACAAAGTGTCCAGAGTGTTTTTAACATAAGCATAATTAGGTATTATTACCATCACTATATATTCTCTTTCCACACACATTTTAGCAAATATGCATACACACATAGACATAAATATACATATATTAATATATCCTTATACATGAAATATACTTAAATTAACTTTTGTTTGGGTATCATGGACAACATTTTATGGCTTTGAATTTATGTGTTAGCAAGAAAGACATCTTTACTGTCCTGGGGCAAAAAGCTAAGAGTTGAGTCCCTTAAAAAGTGCCATTAGGCCAGGCATGGTGGCTTATGCCTGTAATCCAGCACTTTGGGCAGATCACCTGAAGTTGGAAGTTGGAGACCAGCCTGGCCAACATGGTAAAACTTCGTCTCTACTAAAAATACAAAAATTAGCCAGGCCTGGTGGCAGGCACCTATAATCACAGCCACTTGGGAGGCTGAGGCAGGAGAATCGCTTGAACCCAGGAGGCAGAGGTTGCAGTGAACCAAGATGACGCCATTGCACTCCAGCTTGGTTGACAGAGTGAGACTCAGTCTCAAAAAAAAAAAAAAAAGTACCACTAGTAGGCTTTCCAAATTATAATACCTAGAAATTCTAATTTTTCTTACTCTCCATAGACTCCCCTTTACTTGGTAAATCACGGCGAGAGTGGACCAGTCAGATGCAATAGGTGCAAGGCCTACATGTGCCCATTTATGCAGTTCATCGAAGGAGGAAGGAGATATCAGTGTGGATTTTGCAACTGTGTGAATGATGGTAAGCAGTGCCCTTAAAAGCTCTTTGTGAAATTCTTTATTAAGTAAAATGCATTATATGTGTTAGTTTAGGAAAAGTATAGATTCTTTTTTCTATATAGCTGTACCTTCTTTATAATTTCTCTGGAAGGAAACCAACTGTAACAAGCTCTGTGTGGGAAATTTAAGCCCCTTTTAACCTTAGGTAACTACATGAGCCCCACATGGAAGTTGAAATGTTTCTTATAAAAGAAAACTCAAATGTGGGAGAAACATTTTATTTATTAGTCCCCTTCCACCAAGCCTCAGTGGGAAACAAAATAAGATTTTTACGTCTTATGATTACAGATGATAAATTTAGGAGACATTTCCTCTGTTGTCATTCCTCAAGGTTATTCTTGAATATGAGCTCATTGATACTTAGGAAAAGCTTAGGTATAATCAAGGGCTTTAACACACACACACACACACACACACACACACACACACACACACACTTCACTCTGATGCAAATGTTGGATTGTTTAAGGAGGAAGGAACATTGTTAAAAAGAACTTTCCCGTATTCATTATATTTGTTTTATTCCAGTACAAATTCACTGTTGTTGAAGAAAACTGCAAAGTTGCTGAAAGTATTCTCACATTTATTGCATTTATAACATGTCTGTATATTTTTAATTATTTGTTGTTAAATGAGGTACATACTCAGGCTGAGAACACTTGCATATTCATTGACATTTTTTGAACCATGTGATGATTATTAGAATACAAGTTTTCTTCTGTTTCTTATCTTTGTAGACAGGCTTCCCTGCAGGTAATTAAATCTGAAGAGCATATAGCACTCTCTGCTTGTGAACACACGGTTCTGCCCATAGGTACTGGCTACTCCCTAATGACAACTGAACTGGGGACAGTATTCCTCCTACATCATTGCATTCATGGCTCTGTGAGCATCTCAGCTCTGTGAGCGTTCTCTGTGGGAGAGCACTGCTTGCCTTCTTGTGTCCCTGCCCCCTTGTCTCACACACAGGGCTTTACTCAACTTAGAGCACCAGAGACTGGCCTTGTGAGTGCCTCTCATGTAGACATTTGGTCAGTTCTTAAACATACCTTGCTGTGGAGTTGAATCATTGACTTCTAGACTGGTTCCAAATTATGGCCTCAGCCTCTTAGGATGTCTTTCTCCTTGTGTTAGCTGTGGTTTCCACTCAGTGCAAATTGGATATCCATTGAGACCAGATTCTGTTTGTCCTCTACCCTTACTTCTCTTTTTAAGGAAGATTTTGTTTCCTCTCTCAACCTGGATGAAATCTGCAACCAAATTCTTGGCTATCATTCAGTCTTGGGACCTGGATTTCTGGAGCCCTGTGACAATTCATTTCTCTGTGCTTTAGTTTTAGAGGAAAAAATCCTGAGAAGGGACAGAGGCTTCTCCCAAAGCATTTGGACACAGTGCTCCACCGAGCCCACCAGTTCCTCAGATGTCTTCACCCAAGCCCCCAGCTTTCTTAGGAAGGTGACCAAAATCCTCCCCAGCATGAAGAGCAGCAAGGATCTTCAGTTTGCTGTGTCTCTTTGGCCTCCTACCCAAAGTGTCGGCTCAGAGCCTTAAAAGGCCCAGCCACTTCCCGGAAGAGAAAAACGACTCAGAATTCTTGTGTCTCAGCACAGCAGATTATGTTCCCTCAGGTATCCACTCCTAGGAAGCTGCCATGTTTATTTTCCAATATAATTATTCATACTAGGCTTAAATATTTGTCTCTACAAGGAAGCCAGACTCCCATAAATGTATGCTGACCCCTACATTGTTCATTTAGGTTTAACAAAGACAGAGGTTTGTTGGAGTTAGAAGGAACCCAGAAGGCTTGGTTTCAAGGTTCCACTCTTATTTACTTGAAGAGTGTCCAGATATTGCCTAGTGGGGAGCATGTGTGGTCAGAGGCATGCGGCAAGACAGGGGAAAGGGTAGTGCATGATTAATGGGATGACTTGAATTTTGGCTTACAAAAGATGACAGACAATATTAAATGCTAATGAATATAAAAAAATTAAAGGAAAAAAATTTCACATAATACCTTTCTGCAGCATCCTCCACCTCATCTAAATGTAACAAAACAGCAATTTAAGACCCTCAAAGTTTACTTACCTCAGCTGAGCCTGTCAGTTTCTACTTCTATAATCTTTTCAAGAAGCTGAAATTTCTGAATTCAGAGATCTTTATGTGCATAAGAACCTTATAAAACTTTAAAAGTAATGGTTGTGATACAGTAACAATGTAGAAAAATCAAGCCTCAATGGGTTTTTTAAAAAAGTACAACATCAAAAAGCAGTCTCATTATTATGTCAGTTTCACAGTCAAAAATATATAATGCTGAATTGTTGGTTTAAAAACAAGAAGCATTACTTGTATGGTTTTTACAAATGGTAATGTTGTTCTTTATAAAAAGCTTAAAACCAGATCATTGGTAGTTTTTCTAAATACTTTTATTGGCAGTGGTTTAGTAGCCAGCCCTATTAATCTTAAGGCAACAGGAGTCCGTTTTTACAGAGATACCAGGCCATATTTGTCCAAGTGTTCAGTATGTGACTCATAAGTGTTCCTGTGCTATTGGATGACTTCCAGATCTTTGCCAGAACTAACCTTCTTAGACATTTGAATCAAATTAAAGTTCCTTAGCTGAGATCTAAGTGGTGTAGTCTTTCCCTAATACAGTAATCCTCTCCACTCTTAAGCCCAAACATTAAAAGATTACCATGCAAACTCCCCGTGGGTGAAGACATCTCTTAATTAAAGCATAATAAATATTGTAGTTCATAGTATAGTTGAAATAATGAATGTTTATTTCTGTTAGGTATATTAAAAATTCAAATAGTTAGAAAAGTAGAATTCTTTTTAAAAGAGATAATAAAATGTGGACAATTAAATTTGGGTTGTGACAACTTAAAAACACCAGTACTTTTATATCCTGTTTTTCTAGGATGTTCTAAATCATAAATGTTCCTTGTCATCAATAACTTGTAGAAGAGGAACCCTCCTTCTTTCCAAGACATGTTTTTAAAATAGAACATATTTAAGTTATACTACATTCCAGCTTTAAAATACATTTTTCCTGATACTAACTCCTTTCCTCCCATAATAAATTTTGAGAACTTATTAAATTGTCTGTGTTTATAAAAACAAAATATATTCTTTCCTATTTTGTTTTTATTAGTTCCACCATTCTACTTCCAACATCTGGACCACGTTGGAAGAAGACTAGACCACTATGAGAAACCAGAGTTATCTCTAGGATCTTATGAATATGTTGCCACTTTGGATTATTGCAGAGTAAGTGTTCCCAGAACTCCAAGGGTTTATGCATCAGTGTCAGATTCAAGTGAATAACTTTCATATGTAAAGAACTGACTCTTGATTCACAAACAAAGCATTTTGGTGGTACCAAAATGCTGATAGTGGTGGTACCATTTCACCACATACTCCTAACTGCTGTTAACTGAAGAAGAATCATATGCAAACACTTAATTTTTAAATTAAATGTAAGAAAGCCATTGTAACTAATGATGGAAAATTTATTTGCTGATCTTTGCAACCATAATATAAATCTAACCATACTCTCAGTTTCTAGTTCTCTGCCAAAAAACTGAAATGTGGTGTCAGAAATAGAAAACAATAATTTTTATGTCCCTGACAGACAGAATATACCTGGTTCTTAATGCAGCAGTTTCATACATTGCCTCTGCCCCCTTTATTTTGTAAAGAGTCTCAGAAAAACTTCCCTTCAAAGAGAAAAGCTCAACAAAATGGTTAGTAGGACTGTTGACGTGTTTCTGCACTTCTCTTCACTCCAGTTACTACCACAGTGGTTTGGGCTCTCAGAATCCCTCTTACACTATCTCAGCAGCCTGAGATCCTGGCCTTTGATTCTACTGCTCTGTAATGTGATCATGAGACACCGCCTGTACACTCACTGCCTCCCATAAACCTCTATTGGTTATTTGTTTTCTAAAAACATAAATTAAAAAAAATAGCTTTCTTTATAAGGCCATTAAGCGTTGGACCCCAAACTATCACCTCAGCTGTATCTTCAGTTGTACAAAACTTTTCACCTCATACTCTGAATTCAGCCCCTTTGACAACTCCATGCCTTTATACCAGATGTTCATTTGACCAGAATATCTTTCCATTTTCCTGTCACATCTATACAGATCCCAACTGGCAAACCCCACCCTATTTATTCTGTAATGCCTGGCTGAAATTTTATTGTGTGTAGGCATATGCAACTTTCTCTGTCTTTATCATGGTAATTATTTATTACAGCTTCTGTTTTTTCACGGAATTTGGTCTATATTTCTCTATTAGCATTTATCCCCTTGGAATTTAAATCTTATTGCATGTCTGCCATCTTTACAGATTCTGATACCCTAGTCATCTTTATGACATTTACCACACTATCTGGCACAGGACAGGTAGTTGGTCAGTGTATCTGGAATGAATAAATGAATGAATTTGCGAGTATTACTATTGCCAGGACTATCTATTTTCCTTGTCCAGTGTCACAATGACACCATATGGGTACCTTGCAGGGCTTTAAAATTCTTCACTGATTTGAAAATCACATTTTCTTGGGTATCATTCAGATTTCAGCACATATTTGAAGCAGCATGTGTGGACTTGAAGAAACAGGGTCATTCTGACTTATTTTCTTGTTTTCTCTTCTAAAAATGAATGTCTACTAATGCCCATTTCCCAGAAAACAACTTCTGACCCACAAATTTCTTTTATAGATGTTTGCAAGGAGAGCAGTCATGTGGAGCAGTCATGTATTGGGTATAGATGACAATGAACATTTTTTCTAAACAGATTTTTTTTTCCATTGACTGACTCTTAAAATTTTTTCCATTAACATAACTTACTGCATTTGTTTTACTGCTTTATATAATTATTTTGCACTGTATCACATAGAACTAGTTGTTAAAGAAAACATAATGCTTTATTAGTTTAAAATGTTGCAACATCTGAACATACTTGGGGAAATCTAGGAATATTTTTGGTACAAATGCTTTATTTTTAGGCAAGAAGCATGTCCTAAAATACAATGACTTTTGGACAGCATATGTTCCTAACTGCTATTAACTGAAGGACAATCATTAGGCAACACACAAACATTTAATGTTTTAATTGAATATAAGAAAGCCATTGTAACTAAGGATGGAAAATTTATTCGCTCATCTTTGAAACCATAGTATAAACCTGACCATACTCTCAGTCGCCAGTTCTCCGCCAAAAAAAGCGACATGATCTTGATTGTATGCTTTTTCAGTAGAAACTTAGGCAGAGAGTCAAATCTGTTTCTGGGAACAAAAGTCTTAGTATCTTCAAACTCTGTAAACTCTGTTATCTGGAAATATTCCAGAAGTCTAATTGATGGGAAATCTCTCCCAGCCAGGCAAGGAACCAAACAAAAATTGTACATTTTGAAGAGCTTTTGTAAGCATAATCTTGCTTTTATTATTCCAAGTAGAGTTCATAATAAATATGCTGTAAACATCCTCAAATTTAATTATAATTTAAAATGTAAATAAAGTATAATAATGAGTTGGCTTAGCTACTCAGACAATGAAAAAGCTTATTTAATTTGTACTGGTATTTTTTATACCATGCACTTGGAAAGAGGAATTACAAAATCACATTTTCCTTTTCATCATGGCTTATCTTAATGATGATTTTAAATAGTAAAATTGACAATTGTTGAACATTTACCATGTGTCAAGCTGTAGGCTAAATTCTTTTTATGTATTGGATCATTTAGTCCTCATGGTGAACCCATGTGGTGCATACCATCATTATTAGAGGAAACTGAGGCTTAGAGAGTGCCTAAATGCCAGTTTCATATGCATCCAGGAAATGATGGAGCCAGACTGAAAACCATATCTGTGTGACCACAGAAGCCCTATTCTCTATCAATATACTGTGTATATATGAGCAAGTATTAACACAATCATCCTGGAGTTCCCTTGGTAAAAAAAAAAAAAAAAAAGGCCTCAGTTTTGTCACATAATTGAGAGTTTATAATTTATAAGTTTATGGAATATATCTGCATGTAGAGTATACTTGAAATGTAAAACCTCCTTCCAAATCAGCTTTTATTTTTCCTGAACAAAAATGTAGTTTCTTCACTTAATTGTAATTCACTTTGACATTACCAGATGCATAACATTTCTAAGGTACTTGTCTATGTGCTGTAAGGGATAACAAAAGTAGCAAGATGATAAACCTGCTCTCAATGTACTTACCATGTGTAGACCTGATAAGAAATGTATATAATTTTGGTATAAACTCAAATATTATAAACCCTGTAAGAATAGAATAATTATAGTACCAAAGGAAAACAGGATTGGGAAGCCTTCATAGAAAAGGTGACATTTAAGCAGGTTAAACTATGAGCCTGGAGAGGGGAACTAGAACAGTGAACAGACACAGTTTCACAAATATATTGACAATTTATTCAGATATCTTTAGGGGCTAGGCAGACATTGTAGATGAAGTGATGTGGCCCACAATAATTAGAGAGTCTATTATCCCTTCCCTCAAAACATATTTAAATTCAAATATTTTTTTGAAACACTCTGCCAAACAAAACACTTTTCCAGACAAATTTTTGGCTTAGGCCCACTAGTCTGTGACTTCTGGACAGGAGATGTTTTGGAAATGTCAGCCACTTAAGTTGTTGGGAAAATGTGTATTGGGAATAATGGGAAGTTGTTTTGAGGACACAGTCTATCTTTTTATTTTCTCCTGGGTCCAGCATCATATCTTTTATTTCCTACGTATTTATACATATTTTTAAAATGAGTATCATGGTAGGTCTTCAATGCCAGGCATTGAAGAATTTATGTTAATTCAGTAGGCCATGAGGACAATTAAAGGTGAAGATGAATTTGTTTCCATTCATTCATCCATGCATTCACTCACTCAGTCAACAGTTAACGAGCATTCTTTGTGGTGCCATGCTCTGTGCTAGGCTCTAAGGACTCAATAAACTTCCTGTTCTCAGAGAAGGTAGCATTGTGGTCTGTATTGAGCATCAGATAGTTTATTCTGACAGCAGTTTATATAATGAGAGGAGAGATTAGAGGCAAGGGTGCATTAGAAATTAATGTAGTTGTCCAACTAAGAGAAAATGAGGGTAGTATGATAATTCCTCAAAAAATTAAAAATAGAATTACCATACGACTTAGCAATTTCACTTCTGGGTATATACCCAAAATAATTGAAAGCAGAGTCTCAAAAAGACATTCACATATCCATGTCCATAGCAGCAGTATTCACAATAGCCAAAAAGAGGAAGCAACCAAGTGTCTATCGACAGAAGAATGGAAAAGCAAAATGTGCTATATATGTATAATGGAATATTATTCAGCCTCAAAAAGCAAGGGAAGTCTGACCTATGCTACAACATGGATGAATGTTGAAGATGTTATGCTAAGTAAAATAAGCCAGCCACAAAAGGGATAAATATGGAATGATTCTGTATGTGGTATGTACAGTAGTCAAATTCATAGAGACAGAACATAGGATGGTGATTGCCAGGTGCAGGAGAGAGGAAACAGATTGTTTAATGGTACAGTTTCAGTTTTACAAGCTGAAAAGCATTCTGTGATGGATGGTGGTAATGGTTGCACAGCAATATGAGTGCACTTAATGGCACTGAACTGTACACTTGAAAGGGTTAAGATGGCAGTTTTTATGTTTACTTTTCCACAGTTAAAAATAATAGAAAAAGAGAGAAATTGAGAATCTAAATTTGGCTCCTGGAACTAGGAGAGCCACATAGGCCTTCACAATTAATTGGCTGTATAATCTAAGTGAGGTGGACAAGTCCATGGAGACAGTGAGATTTCAAGCCCAGATTATTTTAGCTAATTGTGTTTTTTAAGTAAGTTTCTTATAGGAAAGACAAATACAGTGGGGAAAATGTTGTCATAATCTCTACAATTTTGAGTCTAAGGTGCTGGTAGAACTTTTATGTGGATGTGTGCTATAGTTAATTGGAATGGTGGTCTTAAGCCCAAAAGGGATCACAGTGAGAGAGAATTTGAAGAGTTGCCTATATAGAGGTGCTGGTTAAAACTGAGCAAATGAATGAGATTTCTGTGATGGACATGGGTGGGAGGAGAGAAGTTAGATAAAGATGAGAAAATGAAAAACTGAAACAACAGTTAGAGAACTGGGAGAGGAAATGATGCTTCAGTTCCTTGACAGCTAAGAGAGCCAAAGTGGTCTGCTGTGCCTAAAATTGCAAAGAGAGAAGAGATCTAGGATGAGAGCTGGATTTTATTTCAAGTCACTGTAGTTTGCAACCTAGATAGCTTAGTCACCTGTAAGAGAGCAGTTTTAGTAAGATGGCATGGAAAACCAGTGTTTTATCGAGTACATACATGTTAAGCTTGTTGGACAAAGCCAGCTGGATTGTATGGGTAGAGTAATAGATTAAGGAAGGTAATGATGAAGCCATGACAGTCATCTAGGCATGAGATGACAAGCTTTCAGATGGTTAAGAGTAGGGATGGGCCAAAACATCATTTAAGAATCATTCTGAAAAATGAAAACAATGGGACTCAGTTATTGAAGGAAAAGGAACAGCCAAATCTAATTTCTTGCTTTCAAGCCTTTGAGTTGGCATGTGGTGATGTTATTGATAGAGACAGAGAAATGGGAAGAGAATGTGATTTAGAGGAATGATGAATTAATTTTAAGTATATCAAAACAAGTTATAGTGAAGCATTTCTGTAGAAATGTGCAAATTGGAGATATGGAAAATATTCCATAAGGAATTGGTAATGCTGAATTTAGAAGAGATTACAAGAATGGCACAGCACACTTGGGTTTTTCACAAAGAGGTTTTGGTTTAATTAATGGAAATGCTTATTATTTTCATCCATTATAGATCGGCGTAAGTCTATGTTGTGAATTAAAGTAGGTGTAAATCAAGAATGATTTGCAATAAAAATTATTCACAGAGAAAGCAGAATTTCTTCATTTCTTTGTTGGTCTGATTTTGGCAAGGGGATGAAATTTTCAGGATGATGATTTGTAAGTCCTATAATTGGTTTTTATTTAAAATGAAGGATTTTATTTTAAAAAGTTATATCTAGCCTTGTAGTAGATATAGAATGAATCAGTAAGATAATTTACCGACATTGTCATCTAATTTTAAAATAATTAAAATACAATTTTAGAAATTTTTGTGATTTATCATAAAGTTAAAAATCACGTTGGTCTTAATTCTTCTCTAGTGTAGGTCACTAAAGTTGTTTCCCTGTGGCTCTCTTTTCTAAATATTTTGTAAGATACAACTGAAGGATCACTTCCTAAAAGCTGTTTGAACACCAGCCAGAAAGGGACCAACAATTAAAAAACATTTTCATAGCAGCTGCTTTATGTCACAGTGATTGTTTTAAACAGATAAAGAAAAGGCCCAACATTCTGTGTTACCACAAATGTGTAAGAAATTAGGTGAGGACTTAACAATATAGTACAGTTTTTAGAAGTATACAGTTATATTTTCATAAACAATTTTATATCTTTTAAGCAGAAAGAGCTAATAGAAGAGAGTCTAAAATAGTGACATCCAAATTAATGAAGTTTTATTACAGTTTCAAAAACAAACACTATTATATGTACTCTTTTTAAGCATAATTTGTTAGTGTGCCAAACATATTTTGACCTAAGGCAGAGTGTTACAAGCAAGTCTGGCCATAATACTGTACCGTCCCTTTAGCAACTGTAGTAATAAAACTTTGCAAAAGTGAACCTTCTGTGCTAGATGTCATCATAATGTCTAATTCAGTACTGACCCAGGTCATACCCTGGAAAATAAACAAATTCTTTTATCTTTTTAATGGTATCTGAAACCAGATGCTCTCGATATTCTAGAAAAATGATTTAATTCCACAGATGGTATGTCCTAAAAATTAAATGAAACATCTGATAACTTTCAAGGATTTCTAATGAGTATCAACATTTTATTATGCAATGTATTTACTTTCTATCTATTTATGTGATGTGTTTGCTTTCCTGTAGAAGAATAAGCCTCCCAACCCACCAGCCTTCATCTTCATGATTGATGTTTCATATAGTAACATAAAGAATGGACTTGTCAAGCTCATATGTGAAGAACTGAAGACCGTGCTGGAAAAACTTCCAAAGTAAGGGAACCGTCATTCTCTTTACAACTTATACATTATTGCCCAATTAATTTATTGGCCAGAAGATAAGTGCTGAATGACCAATTGATATTTTTTGCTAATGAGGACGTAGGGTAATTAGTCATAAATCAAACAGCACCATTGTTTTGAGTTCTTAAAAAGTTAGAGTGATCTTTTGTACAAAGCAAAAGAAACAAACTGATAAAAAAATGCTACAGTAAAAAACATTCAAAATACATTATAAATTCTAAGAAGAATCCCAACAGTGTGATGGGAAAGACTTTGGATATGTTATTCACTTTTCGAAGCATTGATTTTCCAGAGGAAACTAGTAGTTGCTGAGCATGGCAGAGTTCGAAGGGATGACAGGAAACTGAACTGTTGTCTTATGGCAGAGATGGTAGATGTTTAGGCAATTTCCTTTTGCCCTTATGATAAGCTGTCCAACCCATTTGCAGCTTTACTGCCTCTGTGTCCTGTAACTTAACAGCACGAGGTGCATCACATTCCTTGCCATTGCAAGAGGGCAGCAAGGAAAGATGGACAACTAATTCTAATCATTAATAGATGAACATACCCTAGACCTTAGTCAAGACTTAAGACTGTGCTTTAAAAAGGCTGTTTGGCATATTACCTTCTGTAGAGCAGAGAAGTAAATCAAACTGATGACAGTCTTACCATAAGAAATATAAAGTTACACACACACACAGCCCAAAACAAATTTCAGGGGAGAAAAAACAACCAGATGTGTTTTAAAAGATGAAGAGGAAACAAATTGTATGTTGGTGTGAATAAAAGCTTTTAAGAGAGATATTTGGAAACTAGTAGGGAATAACTAGCAGTATCCTTTTTTCTCTCTCTCTTACTGCCTCTAAATCAAACAGGGCTATTTTTAAATTATCTTATTGTAAAAACTAGTTGTTTAGGATGGGGAATAACATCTAAAGTGATTCATGAGCAGGGAGAATGCCATCCTTCATGTGAGGAAATATGAACAAGCTAGAAAATGTTGTCTGTAACCTAGTCCCTGCACGTCCCACCCCCTCCCTGTCTCCCTGAATATCGACAGTCTTTGTTCTGGACAGGGTTGTTTTTCTGGAGTGTAGGGTGTTGGCTTCAGCCCTTAGAGCTCCATGAATCTTTGGGTGCCCACTTCTCTGTATTGTTTGCACATATGACTGGTGCTTTGCAACTCGTGAGGCTCAGACAGATGAACTCTGGACCTCCCAGGAATAGTTTTGTTTGTATCTGTGAAGCTGAAGTCATAATATTTTTGAGATGGTTTGGAAAAGCAGTGGGGATGTTTAAAAAACACCGAGGCAATTCCAAACTAAATTCTAAAATGAAGAATGAGCTGGGGGCAAGTTGAAGATGGTGGCATAAGGCATCTGATGCCTGCAGATGTGTTTGCAACTGTAGTTTCCCTTACCCCATTCTTAAAGAAACTTGAGAAGTACGGATTTTCTGCTGAATATGATATATTTTCTTACAGAACTCTCTCATAGGGCTGGTTTAATCTGAATTTTGAACTTGATTAGCATGAAAGAAAACTAATGTCTGGAAATGGTCTTTCTCTCTTTTCCTTTTCTCAAACTGGTTCAACTTAGGCTAATCTATTATCCTAGACAGCTACTTCACCAATCCCTTGTTTCTTATCAATGCTGGTGATATGAAGCTAATAGCCTGTTGATGTAAGTTATGAAATCACACCCCCTCCTTTTGTGTCATTATAACGTTATGTCCCATTGGAGCAGAGATGTGTGACTTTGGCAAAAGATAGGAGGAAAAAATAAAAGGATACTGTTGATTATTCGCTGCCACTATTCCAATCTTTCTTTTAAAAGAGTTTATTCAAGCCAATTACCTTTTTCTCCTTTGTCTTTTAAAACAAATCTTGTTGTTTCTTCTCCCTAAAATTTATTTTGGGCTGTGCATGTGTGTAACTTTATTTTTTTAATGGTAAGATTGTCATCAGTTTGATCTACTTCTTTGTACTAAAGCAGGTACTATGCCAAACAGCTTTTTAAAAAGCACAGTCTGAAGTCTTGATTAACATCTTACGGTATGTTAATCTCTTAGCTAATCTTTTGGAACAAGAAGGCCTCATGCTTTACTATTTAACTTTGAATTTATACCTTTGGCCTCTCAAGGTCGCCAGACTTTTCTCACTTCTCTGGAACAGGAAAGAAAAGATTTGAAATGTTTCATCTGTTGTTCAGAACTAGCTTTTTAGTTTTTTTTTTTTAAATCTGTTTGTTTTTAGTGCTGCTGAAACTAAAATGTTCCAAATGCTCGATCTTAAAATTTTCTGGTTCACCTAGTTGCTAATGTCTTCAGTGTTGCTCTGTCAGGTTCGTTCCATTAAAATGATGATGGGGCAAGCATTGAGAGAAGTGATCATTGAAAAGCAGAAGAACAAAATGTGTTAGTCTTTATGATGTCTCTTGTATAACTTCACAAAACTTGTCTAGAATTAATATGAAGGAGAAGCTGAAAATTAGTTTTCTTCTGGATATGATTTAATAAGGCAGTTATACTGTTGAAGAAAATTTTAGGACAGTTCTGTTTCTCAAACAAGTTTTCAAAAATGTTCCCATGGAGACCAGTACTAATATTTTGTGATAGTGTAGGGTGTTCTGATTAGATGCTTTTAAAAAATGTTAATTTAGATCTTAAGTGAACTCTGTGAATCCCAGGATACTCCTTTCCCATCACTCGAAAATGTCCAAATCCAATGGGAAATAGTAATCTAGATTTTCCTCTGTAGATTTTCTTTTGTGCCTTTTGCCTTAGTTGATTCTAAATTAACTATTAAAAGAGAATAAATCCCTTTGTGATTTGCTGGGATGTGTTTCACCTAATGTCATAAAAAGTTTTACTGGAAATGGAAGCTTAACTAGTGGTGTGCTGGTAAGCTGTCTCTCAAAAAAAATAAAGCCTTGATTTGTAGTGTTTGCTCAATCCATGGTGTCAGTGCTTCTAGCCAGGATGGTTCCAAACTGTCAGGGTGACATCACTAAACTGAAGCTGGGAAGAAATGTGTACTATTGGGTTATCAGTCGGGGTTCTAACTTGCCATCCCAAATCCAGTTTTTCACCATCATGATAATCATCCTCAATAAAACCTCTGATTCTCCACATTGTACTTGACCCTCAGGGGACAGATAATGTAAACTTTGGGTCCTGCCCTTTATTAGCACATACTCAAGGACTCATGAAATGTTTATTAAAAGGTACCTTTAGCTAAGAGCCCAATGAGAATGATTTATAAGAGTTTAGAAGAGGAAATGACTTCCAATTGGTAGCATCAGGAGAGATTTCACAGAGGGGGAAGAATTTGCACTTGGTTTTGAAGAGTAAGATTCTAATGAATCAGGAAAGGGTTGGGGCAAGCATGGATGCAGTATAGCATAGTGGTTAGTTGCACAAAGTTGCATCATTTAGGATATTGAGGTGTGCATAAGTGTCTGTGTATGTGTAGTTAGAAAGAACAGGGATTCTCATTTCTGAAAGCTTTGCAAGTATCCAGAATATAAACAGTTACCAAGTGCTTTTGGAAGGGATTGTAAGAATCTATTTAAACTGCCCAGTGAAGAACAACTATTCTCAGTTAGTGAAGGAAGTAGAGAAGAAAACACAGTTCAAAGTCAGTACCTTATCAGCCTATACTCTGATGACATATCAAAGAAATTGGTAAGTGTGCAGCAGAATCAGCAATTTGAACTTCAGATAATTCCATCTAGATACCTCCATTTTCCTCTCTCTTATACTTGAATAACTCTTTAGGACATATGCAAAATTTAGAAGCTGGGCAAACCAGACTCCTTTCTTTTTTTTTTTTTTTTTTTGAGACGGAGTCTCGCTTTGTCACCCAGGCTGGAGTGCAGTGGCACAATCTTGGCTCACTGCAACCTTCACCTCCCAGGTTCAAGCGATTCTCTTGCCTCAGCCTCCTGAGTAGCTGGGATTACAGGTGCACATAATCATGCCCAGCTAATTTTTTGTATTTGTAGTAGAGGCTGGGTTTCATTATGTTGGTCAGGCTGGTCTCAAACTCCTGACCTTGTGATCTGCCCACCTCGGCCTCCCAAAGTGCTGGGATTACAGGCATGAGCCACCAGGCTGGGCTATCAGGTTCCTTTTCAAAATAGTTGCCTTTTAATCAGAATAAGTTAAACTGACATCTAATGGTCAAAGAAAGTGGCATGTATCTTTTGTGGGTTTTACTTAACCATTGAGCACTATATAATATTCTCCATTAAAAATTAGTAAGAGCATCAGTAGTACCTAGCTGTTTTCTTTTAAAGGAGAGAAAAATAGACAGTACAATGCACTCAGCAAACATGAAACTAAAGTTTAGACCACAAAATTCTGAATGTACTTACTATAGACTGGACTGAGAATATTCATGCCTTTACACTTATAGGAATACTAAAGCCTCATTTTGGAATTTAAAATATATATATATATACTCTTTGTTACAATTTTGGAGCCTTGGAGCTTTTTAGTGCTTTGCCATGACCATCATAAATGCTCACCTTATAGCAACTACACCTTCATTTTATAAATGTATTTTATGTATTTACCCTATATAAGGTATATAGTTCTCAAAATCTAGCCTGTTTTCTATTGAGATTTTCTGATATGTAAGAAAAGAATCAGAGGAGGAGCAAGTGTTTTCTCGATAAAAGCAGCTGTCCTATTAGTAATATGAGTGTGGTTTCCTCATCCCTTGCTTCAGATATTCCATTTGTTCTTCTGACCTTCTGGTGACTTTTGAGAGAGCCTTGCTTATAAGGAATGTAATAAGCCTAGTTTATTCATGAAGAAAGCATTATTATTTTCTATAGATTAAAAATAAATGTTACAGAAATATGATTTTTACCTAGAATTTTGAAGATTTTTTTCCTTATCAGTTTGTTTATTTTTGTGATAACTCTTATCCCCTATTGCCGTGACTAGTATTGTTTACACCTGGTAATAGAATAAGACAAAAACTTTAAACATGTCTTTATGTATTTTATAGAAGACACACTTATTGAATTTCAGATAGAAACCTCCTTTTCATTCTAAGTTTATAATGTATCTCAAACACGTTTTTTCCTTATAGGGAAGAGCAAGAAGAGACGTCTGCAATTCGAGTGGGTTTTATCACATATAACAAAGTTCTCCATTTCTTTAATGTGAAGAGTAATTTGGCCCAGCCTCAGATGATGGTAGTGACTGATGTTGGAGAAGTCTTTGTTCCTCTGTTGGATGGTTTCCTTGTGAACTATCAAGAATCCCAATCTGTGATTCATAAGTAAATATCAAGCATTTTATAATTTAAAAGTGAATCAGGTGTCTGTCTTTTGTTGCACTGTGTTTTGATTCAATCATGCATTGTTTTGTCATTAGCAAGGGGGTTCAAGGCATGGATTATAAAACTCTATCATTTATGTTAAGCCTGTCTTTTTTTTTTTTAATATAGACCAGTATCTAAAAGAAAGAATTTTTTGAATACTCATATTCAACCCTATCAGTTCTTCCTTTTTTTTCTGGAAAGGTATTTTAAGGGAGCTATTTCCTATATGTGGAAAAATGTATTCAGTGATGATAGTCACAACTGAAAATATCGCCACTGTTCCAATAATTTATGGTCTAAGAGATCAGTAATGCAGTGAATAGGAAAAAATATCTACAAAAAGTGTTTTTGTAAATGTTCTATTCAAATAATATATTTTGGTGCCAAGCCATGCTAAGATATCATTTCCTAAGGAAACTTACCTATAGGTGTTGGTGTCAAATAAATACCATATGTGTTTAGGCTTGAAATGTCAATGATTTATTGCTTAAAGTTTATTAAAATATGCTAAACATTTCAAACCTTTTGCTTACTCATGTCTTATAGTTTGTTGGACCAGATTCCAGACATGTTTGCAGACTCTAATGAAAATGAGACTGTCTTTGCTCCTGTCATCCAGGCCGGCATGGAAGCACTAAAGGTGAGAAGAAGCCACTTCTAATTGCTAGTATATAAAATTAAAAAACAGAAAAAAAAAAAAAAAAAAAAAAGAAAGTTTCAGTTATATACTCTTCATTAAAACGTGGGTCACTAGAGGCTATTCTAAACTTCCACTCAACTCTCAGGAGGAAATGTCCAAAACCACAGATTGGTCCCAGCATTTCCATTCCAGCACTGTTAGCATCTGAGCAACTGATTTTGCCAGGATTTCCAGTTTAGCTCCTCCCTCTGGCTTTTGTATGAACTTTGTATGGTCTATTTTAAAATTAGTCCAACAATATCAGAACTACCAGATTACCATATCACTCTCCCCAGCCATGGGATTTTCAAACATGCCAGGCCAAGTCCTTGTGACAGCCAATGACAGAGATGTGAATGCCGATTGCCAGAAGTAGATGAGAGGTTGGCCACGTCTCCAGTTGGGAAGCTGAGCCCAGAATGACTCTGGTCATCCTCATAGTAATCAAGACAGCAAACTCAAGAAGGCATAATGATTAAAAAGCACTCACTCTAAATCATCATTATTACCTTAACACAAGAGTCAGACCACTTTGGCCCTTATAGCTAGTTCCTAAAATTAATTTTAAAATGTTACTATTAAAGTTAAATTTTAATTTTAAAATAAAATGCTTAGTAATAATAACAATAACAGCAACAACAATATTACAGAACTGAGTTTATGAAACACTTCCCACATAATTTTATATCTCAAGACAGTGATTCTTGCTTGGGTTTTCTTTATCTTCAAGAGTATTTACTTACGGGATCAAAGATTTTTGTGGATATCACCCAAAAAGTCTCAGAATATATGTTAATTTAACATAAAATTAATAAGAAATATATCATAAAGCAACTTGAAGATATTAGGGCTCACCTAACAGAAGCCAACAAATGATAACTGATTGGTCTTCAGAAAGAAGGGAATTTGTTTTATTCTACATTACTACAAATAAATACCTTCTATTTCAATTTGAAAGGGTTGTTTTTGTTGTTCTTTTCTCCTCCATTAAGGTATCTAGAAATCCATATGTAAATGTTCCTGTACACAATAGTCATATATCACACTACAAGTCTTTCTACTCTAAGAAATCAGGACTGGGAATAATACTATATTCATGGATTTGTATATGAAAGGAAGGATGAGTAGATACTCATTAGCTAATATTTCATTAATTAAGAGAGCATAGTAAAGTAGAATTGTAAAGCCAAGGCTTCCAGAGGACCTGAGCGTAGAGTCCCAGCTAAACCCCATATTTCATTTCTAAAAGGGAACAATCTTACAACAGTGGTTTCCACATTGGCAGTCCACAAGAGGTCTAGAAGCTGTTTGGCAGCTTAGAAAGAAAAGCTATATAAAGCAAATTGTGTACATGCATCCTGTGTATCTGAAATTTGATATAATTATGATGCATTATTGAAAATCACTGTGTTCTTAATAGCCACGTTCTCCAAGGTTGCTCATGCAGTACAATGACCACAGCAATCAGTATATTCCACTATCAGCTAGTTTACTAGAGTCCAGCTCATTTCAGCCAATGTGATGTCTCTCATATCTTTTGCATGTTTTTTTGGTCATATTTGTAATTTTATTGTTATAATAATGTATATTTTTACCTTGACGTTTAAAAATGAGAAGAAACTAATATCTAAATATATAACAACTCAGGATAAGTTCATAAATACAAAGTTAATGAGTAGTATAATAGTGTTCTTACAAAGTAGAATGAACTACCTTTATAAAAGGTAAATAACTCTTTATAAATAGATAAGGAACTATCTTGACAAAATGCCACTGTTGGACATAATGTCAATGGCAGTTACTACCATCCCTGCTGGCAAAGTAAACATTGTTCTCCCCAACGCCAGTTTTCATGTGGAGGCTGCATGATGCTCCACTGCTGTCCCTGCCCCTGGACTGCTTACAGTATGCTGGAGGAGATGTAACTCTGTAATACAAAACACAATGTTGGTTGGTTATATTTTTTTTAATGGGGGTGGGAGAAGGGCAAAGAGTAACTTTGGAAAGCCCAGGACTGTGGCTGGTCAGCCAAATAGCTCAGGATATTCCTCCCAGAAGGCCAGAGATGAGAGTCTCATCCCCTGTGCACAGGGAGTAGAAATGGAAAGAACTTAAAGTGAAAGTTTTCTTATTGTGTGTCCAAGTGAAAACATTTCAGAACTATACTCCCCTATTTGAATTATAGCTTTATTTTCTATCAGCTACATGCCATGTAAAATCTATATATAATCAGTAGTAGTACTTCTTGAAGCAAACAGAGTAGATAAAAACTAACCGAAAATATGCTAATTTGTCATGAAAATAAACAGCAACTCTTTGGAAAGTTCTTATGCGTACTTTTGAAAAGTCCTTGAAATATCCAACTACAGGCTTTAGAGCACTATTTTCTGTTGTAAATGCCTCCATGTCCACAGCATCTTGTACTCTTAGCCCTTTTTTCCCCACATAGCCTTTTAAAGTCTGCATTTATTTCAAAATCTGACCTTCATGACTCAACTATACATTGCTGGCATTGTCTTTTAAGTTGGCCAAAGAACAGTTTACTGAGTTAGCTATTATTTCCACCATAAAATTAGGGGTAATATTTGGGGGAAAAAAAAAAGGAGGAAAATGATCTTTAGTGGTTATGCTTAAAATATATGAGTTGGGGGGGAATTTATCTTTAAATTATCCATATACCTACCTAAATTTGATTGCAGGGGAATGCATCACAAACAGTACTCCTTGCACAAGGGTTTGTGGAGCACCATAGAATGGAAGGTGGTAGTCTCCATGGGGGTTGGAGAAACACAAAATCAAGGTCCTTCCTTTTCAGGGAGCCCTTGACCTACAGGAGGAGACACTAGAATACTTAAAGTTGTGATACAAATGTCATTAATTCAAGAATAGTCTTTTCTATAAAGAAGAGCAGGTAAAGTCGAGGGTGTTAATAACATATCTCTCAGAGGAAGGGGTGTCAGAGCTGAATTTCAAACTATGAGTTCTCCAGGCCAGCCTCTCTCAGCCTGTTTTCTGCTATAATAAGAATAATATATACCATTCATTAATTCTGCATGACTCACTCCTATAGGCAAAGTCAGACTTTGGTTAAAACATAAATTTTTGTAGGGAATAAAACATTTAATACATAGGACCTTTATCTTTTATTAATTTGCTACTTCTAAAAGGCTATATAATGGTGTGCTTATGAAATTATGGATCTAAAATTAACCATTTCATAAGGAAAAAATAAATATGGCCACTTTTTAAATAATATTGACCTTTTTTTCCAGTGGGCCCTGATGTTTTTTCCCTCAGAGTTTTACTATAGGTAATATAGTAAAATATAACAAGACAAAGTATGTTTAATTATGATTAACGTGTACTAGATGATTGAATTCTCCCAACAATCTTTTGTGTAGTTTAATGTATTGACTTGTCATGAGATAACTGAAAATTAAAGAAGTTAAATAATTTGTCCAGTGTCACTCAGATAATAAAATGGCTGATTCTGATCATGACAGGTATGACCCATGTTCTTTACTGCTGTGGTATAAAATGACAATATTAATATGAGTAGAGAATATCTAAATGAATAGAATTTTGGACAGTGAATGCCTTAGGGGAATTGGGTAGGCCAGGCATGAAAAGCTGATGAGAAGGTAGACTTTCTATTAAAGCTTTATACTCTCTATGATATTTGAATGTTTTTTAAAACTATTTTTATAATAATAAAAGCTACAGGGCCAGGCATGGTGGCTTACGCCTATAATCCCAACACTTTGGGAGGCTGAGGTGAGCAGATTACCTGAGATCGGGAGTTCAAGACCAGCCTGACCAACATGGAGAAACTACATCTCTACTAAAAATACAAAATTAGCCGGGCATGGTGTTGCACACCTGTAATCCCAGCTACTCGGGAGGCTGAGGCACAAGAATTGCTTGAACCTGGGAAGCGGAGGTTGCAGTGAGCTGAGATTGCGCCATGGCTCTCCAGCCTGGGCAACAAGAACAAGATTTGCTTTCAAAAAAAAAAAAAAAAAAAAAAAAAAAAAAAAAAAAAAAAAAAAAAAAAACTACAGAAATAATAAATTTACAGTCAGAATTTCAGGGTTTCAACATGCTTAACATTTTGTAATCAATATTATTGTAAATTTTACTCTGATTTGTTCATTGGAGCTAATGTGTCTTTACTGGCCAGAATCTTGCTATTCCCTTTCTCCTATTCAGTACACGTATACCTATAGATTCGTACCCGTTCTTCTTCATTCATCCTTGTGTCCTTATATTAATAAGAACTGCATCTGTCAGTAATTTTCAGTAGAAGACACATGCAACAATAAGATCATAGCACACAAATTTTTGCTCACTACTGTCCATAGCAGAGACGAGAGAGCAGGCCCCAGGTTAGGCCCCTTCTCACCATGTCAGCTGTGTCTTCACCTCTCTGACCCACTCCACAGAGCTTAGAATGTCAGTCATTGAGAGAGACACTGGGACAGGGCTGACCTTGAATTCTCTCTCTTTGTTTTTAAGACAGCTATTCACAAACCTAAGTACCTTATTATTAGCAGCACTTACTGCACATCTTGCAACTGAGCCAGGCACACTGTGCCTTTGCAAATAACAGCTGCAGAGAGCTGGAGAAATGCATTCCAGACCAAGGGAACAGAATGTGCACAGAAAGGGAGGTGTGTAAAGCATGTAGTACATCCCAGGAAAGCAAGAAGCTTGTGTGGCTAAAACTTCCAGTGTAAGCAGATGTCAGGGGTAAGGATATGTTGGAAGTAAGACTGGAAAGATAGATTCAGACTCAACTTCAAAGGGCCTTTAAAGTTATCATTTACTGGTTGTGTGACCTGGGGAAAATTGGATGAGTCTCAGTTTCCCTATTCTTAAAATGCAAACAGCAGTACCTGCTGAACAAGGTTGTGAGTGTTAAAGAAAACGTGTGAAGAGCCTGGCACAGAGCTGTATGCAGTAAATGTTGGTAGCAGCTCATCTCACTGTTTCTCACCCTTCCTGCTCCTAAGCAGACAAAGGACTGTGGACTTTATCCTGTACTAGAAAACCTTTAGGATTCCTTCCTCTCTTCCTCTTCCCCTTTCCCTCTCTCCCTCTCTCCCTCCCTATCTCTCCCTCACTATCCCTCCCTCCCCTTCCCTTCCTCTCTCCCTCCCTCCCTTCCTCCCTCCCTCCCTTCCTTCCTTCCTTCCTTCTAGGATCTGGCTCTGTCACCTAGGCTGGAGTGCAGTGGTATGATCATAGCTCACTGCAGCCTCAAACTCCTAGGCTTGAGCAATCCCTTCACCTCAGCCTCCTTAGTGGTGGATACTACAAGCAAGCACCACCATACTCAGCTAATCTTTTAGTTTTTGTAGAGATGAGAGTCTCACTACATTGTCTGGGCCGGTCTCAAACTCCTGGGTTCAAGCAGTCGTCCTGCATTGGCCTCCCAAGGTGTTAGGATTACCAGCATGAGCAGTTGTGCTCAGCTCTTCATGATTCGTAAGGATAAAAGCCACATACCTGATCAGAGCTATTATCTTCATTTCAGAGGCACTGCTCTGGTGCAGTGTGCAGTGTAGTTTGGAGAAAAGCAGGACGGTAGGGTTGGAAGGACAATATATTGAATCATACTTAATTCCAGGAAAGGTTTTGCTTAGTAGGTTACTTCTCAGCACCTTAAATAAGATTTTAAGTCTTGATTCTTAATGCTGACTTGACTGTCATGGAGCTTGACTCTTTTTGTTGCTTCCCAGAGACTACAGATATATGATCTTGATCCCATACTTTTCCTCTTGGCATCATGCCTCATAGCTTATAGTTCCTGGTGTCTACTGTTGCCAACCACCAGTCCGTTCTTATGCGTTCTACCTCAAAATACCACTGTAGCTTTAATCCATGTTTACTAAAGATCTGAAATAAGAGCTTCTCTTGCATCATCATCCTGGGAATTCTACCATCTACTTTACATTATGAGGTTACCTGGTCCAGGAGGCTATACTGTAGGCTAAATAAGAAAGTGTTTTCATCATAACATCATTTTAGTAGTTTTTTTTTTTTTTTTTTTAAGCATCATGATACATAGACCTAGCTTTAAATGTTGGCTCTCTTTCATTTACAACTTTTATTACTTTTGGCCTATCCTCTCTCAGCCTCAATTTTCTAATCTATAAAATAGAATAGTACCTCCCCAGGGACACAAAGGTTATTATGAGGATTAAATTAAATGAATATAGTGCTTAGCTCATAGAAAGAACTTATATTTTAATTTATTTTCTGATTCTCTTAAAATGTTCCTACTCAAGGCATTTTTTGTGAGTTTTGGGTTTTTTTTTTTTTTTAGGCAGCAGACTGTCCTGGGAAGCTGTTTATCTTCCATTCTTCCTTGCCAACTGCTGAAGCACCAGGAAAGCTCAAAAACAGAGATGACAAAAAACTGGTTAATACAGATAAAGAGAAGGTACTTGTAAACAGTTACTCTTTTAGTATCTATATGTCCGTTATTAAGAGGAGTTAAAGAGGCAGTGTGTTCTTGGTGTAAGAAAAGGGGAGAAACTAAATCTCATAAATTAAGATAAATTTAAGTCAAGGGCATTGCATGTTACAGGAATATTTTAGATTACAAACAGCTTAAAATATTTTATATTCCTAGAGAAACCAATTTCTGAAATATGTAAATTAAAATAAGGGCCCAGGCTAGGCATGATGGCTCATGCCTGTAATCTCAGCACTCTGGGAGGCCGAGGTAGGCAGATCACTTGAAGTCAGGAGTTCAGTCTGGCCAACATGGTGAAACCCCATCTCTACTAAAAATACAAAAATTAGCCAGGGTGGGAGCTACTTGGGGGGCTGAGGCAGGAGAATCGCTTGAACCCGAGAAGTGGATGTTGCATCATGCCACTGCACTGCAGCGTGGGCAGCAGAGTGAGACTCCATCTAAAAAAAAAAAAGGTGGGCGGAGGGCGGTGTCCCAAACTTTTTTGTGCATAATCAGCATAAGAGAGACTGAATGATAAGACTATTATAGAAATGGAGGAAGTGGGGGAAAAACAGCAGATTGAAAGGGTAGAGGGCTTTAGACTGTGACGTCCAACAATATATAGACTGTACCATCTAACGATACCCCTTGGAGGTAGAGACCAGAGGCATGAAGCACAGGCATGGCGTTCTCAAAATATGCCTTTGCCTAAAACCTCTGACAGTGTAGCAGTGAAGGGAAAGTCTGTGGGATGGATAAAGCTATGGACATAAGGATCCAACTTGTGCTTACACGGCAACTACAGGTTGCTTCATCTAAGTCTGTAAAGTAAGGGCTGCAATATCAGCTTCATTAGGATTGATAGAGTATAAAATAAAATTGAACACAAAATTACTTCACATAGCATGGACCTGGCACAGACTGAGTCCTCAGCAGGTGGCCACTGCACTGATGATGACCACTGCACTGATGATGACCACAGTGTGTTTCTTCAGCCTAGTTCACTTACCTGGAAAATGTCTGTTTTTCCATTTTGAAAATTCAACAAGAATTCAATAGAAATTTAAAATTTAAACCAAAAACATTTCATAATTTTTCTTTTTCCTTTTATGCATCTTTCTTCCAGATACTTTTCCAGCCCCAAACAAATGTGTATGACTCATTGGCCAAGGACTGCGTGGCTCACGGCTGCTCTGTCACCCTCTTCCTCTTTCCCAGTCAGTATGTGGACGTGGCCTCACTGGGGCTGGTTCCTCAGCTCACTGGAGGAACCCTTTACAAATACAGCAATTTCCAGGTAATGCCAGCAATTTGTTCACCTCAGTCTTCCACTCCCATTTTAATTTTGGTATTTAAATTATAGGTTTAAAAAGCTGTGTTCACTTGTGGGTAGATGACAAATATAAATTCAAGAGCAGATGGAAAACAAAGTATATTGTTGGCCCTTTTTATCAGGAGAGTTCTGCATCTTGGCTTCAACCAAGCTTGGATCAAAAATATTCAAAATAAAATATTGTAACATACTGAATATGTACAGACTTTTTCATTTTTCTCTATAGTATAACAATTATGTACATAACATTCACATTGTGTTGGGTATTATAAGTAATGTAAGCTGGGCGCAGTGGTCCAATGTCTGTAATCTCAGTGCTTTGAGAGGTTGAGGTGGGAGGATCACTTGAGACCAGGACTTCAAAATCAGCCTGGGCTACTGTAGCAAGACCCTATCTTGACAAAAAATTAAAAACTAAGTAATCTAGAGATGACTTAAGGGATATGTAAGATGTGTGTAGGTTATATGCAAATATACCATTTTATGTTAGGGATTTGAGCAACATTTTGGTATCTGTGGGAGGTTCTGGAACCAATCCCCCACAGATAATGAGGGACGACTGTGTGGTGTGTGTGTGTGCATGTGTATGTGTGTGTATGGTTCAGCAATTCCATATTTCCTAAGTGTTTGGTGATAGAATGAGCTTATTTATCCTCAGAGTTAAATATCACTGTGAGCTTTCGTAATGGGGAAAAATATATTTTATGTAAAATATACTTAAGATAATACTTTTAAAAGTGACTGCATATTTATTTTAAATTATTGGGATTTTAGGGATCACTTCATTACACTTCTCTCTTCTAAACCTGAATTGAGAGACATGTTCCAGAGATGATCAAAATGTCAGCACTATAATGGACCTGAGTCTGTAGGCAAGTGGGCTTGCTAATGATTTACCCCTGAATTTGACAAACTTATACACCCAGGCACAGAGTGGGCACAATTTTGAGTTTCTCCTGTGGACCCTTGTGCCTTGAAAACACACTGTATTGAGGGACAGAAAATGTGTGCCTCCTGCAGGCCAGCTGCTTTCCTATGAAGAGGACTCAGAAGAGGCTGAGCTGTGCCCACCCATTTCTTTTTCCCAAACTTATTAATCAGATAAGTCACTCCCCCTCACCTAATGTGTGTGTGCCTGGACAGACATGGAGGCATGGACTGAGAAGGTGTGTTTTCCAACATAGATAATAAATGTTAGTCATCTACTTTTGTTAATCATCAATACTATTCTTAATAGACACTAGTTACATATTTATATTATAAACTAGTTAAGGGACTTGATAAGACCAAAGATTGTAAATGAAATAAAATTGAAAAATATTTAACAACTCTTTCTAAGACTTCTGGATATAAGTATTTTCAGCCACACTCTAGAAAATAAGCTCTTAATAATCATACAGAATTCTAACCCTTACTCATTCTACACATATTCTGGGTATTGAGGTACATGCAACCTACCATGCTGATCAATGTTAGCTCCTTTTCCAGTTAGGGGAATAAATTTCATCAGAAGCCTTTCCCCGCCATTTTCCAAAAAGGACTTTATCATCCTCCATTCCTGGAATATGTGAATTGTACTGGGGTTCTTGCTAGGTCCTTCGCTACGTACTGGTGTGATCATCTACATGGTAGTGACTTGGCTTCAAAGAGCAGCCTACCAAGTGATGTGTAGGCAGGGGTGCTCTGCAGTGTAATCATCCAGGTGTATTACTTTTTTTTCTATTTAAGTTTTTGAGTTATGTGCCAACCATATGTAGTTTCTGATATAATAAAGAATATTTACTTGTACCTCAACATATCCATAATTATTATTGACTCCTTCAATGTTACTAAAAAAGAAATGTGGTTATAATCCAGCAGAGGAAAAGCCTCTAAGATGTAAACAGGCAGTAAAATATTTTATAATAAAAGAGTGTTAATGTTGCCTATGCTGCTATTCAGTTGTTTGTGTTTACTCTAATTGTTGCAAAACAGAATCCTACCATAGCATTTCTTTTTCATCTTCAACAATACAAATTTTAATAGCCTTTTCCATTCAGTAACATTATAAGATGAAAATGATGGTCAAGAACTATGCAGGCACCATCCAGTTGTATGTAAGCAAGTAAAGGGATTGTTATATGTGATCTCCCTCTTTCCTTTCCTCCTTCATTCTCTTTGGGATGTGTGTGTCAGTGTCTCTCCTACATGTCAAATAGTAGTGAAAATTTCCTAAAGAGCTTGACTGACAAGCAGATGAGAAGCTTTAGAAGCTGGTGTTCAGCTAGTTTGTTTACTGTCTTGGGTAACCTCTGAGCTCAGTATTGTGCACATGTGCATATTATATAAATGTTGCTTAGTTGTGGAATGTGGTCATCTTTCAGAAATATGATGATCATAGAATAGTTAATAGGGGTAGGAGAGGGGTTTAAACTTCCCCTTACATAGCTTCACAAAGCTCTGAATGTTGTCAGATTTTTAAAAGCCCCAATTGCAGGGTCTTTCCCCAACCTCATTAAATGGGTATTATACACTGAGTCATAATCATGTCTCTTACCCTAAGCCACTGAGTGGATCACTTATGTGCTCTTAATTTTCCCATTTGTGATTAATAATAGATTTTCTCATCAAAGTGTTAAAACGAAAGAAAATAGATGTGATTTTAGTTTTAAAAGTTAAACAGTGTCCAAAGATCCTATATTTTCTTTAACCAAAGAAGCATAAGATATATGCAAAAATATGCCAAATCGGGATTTAAAAATTATTTTAACTCATGATTAAATTAAGAACTGTTATTTTAAGTATTTTACTGCCATCTGGTGGACACTGATCAGACTTTATTTTTTAGATGCACTTGGATAGCCAACAATTTTTGAATGACCTCAGAAATGATATTGAAAAGAAAATAGGCTTTGATGCTATTATGAGGGTTCGTACCAGCACAGGTAATTATCATTTATACAATTTTTCAGGTCTCTCTTGTATAATTGTTTCTTTTTCAAATTAATAACAGGCCAACAAAGAAAATAACAGTAAAATAAATAGAAGGAAAATTTCCCTTTTCCCTTATCTTTAGGTTTCAGAGCCACTGATTTCTTTGGTGGAATCTTGATGAACAACACCACCGATGTAGAAATGGCTGCCATCGACTGTGACAAGGCAGTTACTGTGGAGTTCAAGCACGATGACAAACTCAGTGAAGACAGTGGAGCCTTAATCCAGGTGATTGAAAATTTATTACCATGTTTTGTTTTTTAGTTTGTTACTGACAATGATCAGTGGGGAGACTGAAATATCATCAAATGTATTAGTGTCTTGATAAAAAAATTCAACTCTCTTTCTCCAAAGTCAAAAGTCAGTAGATTAGAACACTCAATTGTGAGGTTTCTCCATTCTCATTCATATTTGCTACTTATATGAAGTGACAATTTTATGTCATTGCATGCAAGTCCAGCAAATTTGTGGTAAGTATCAGAGGCATCAGCAAACTGGCTTCCAAGAGTATTCACTTCTGTTGGGCTTCAGCACCCATTCACGTCTACCATATCTGTATTAGTTTGCTAGGGCTGCTGTAAGAAACACTACAGAGTGAGCAGCTTAAACAACAGAAATTTATTTTCTCACAGTTCTGGAGGCTGGAAGTCCAAGATCAAGGTTTCTGAGGGCCTGGAGGGAAGGATCTGTTCCAGGCCCCTGTCCTTGGTTTGCAGATGGTTTTCTTCTCCCCTGTGTCTTCACATCATCTTTCCTCTGTTACATGTCTATGTCCGAAGTTTTTTAGGGTACACTCTACTGAACTCACTTTAATTAATTTACCTCTTTAAAGGCCTCATCTCTAAATACTTAGGTCCTAGGGGGGTAGGACATTGGAGGAGCCACAGTTCAGCCCCAGTACCATGTTAATCATATTATATTATAAGCAAGTGAAATAGGATTTCTTTGTTTAAAGTGAAACTAGCTAAAAGCCATGGAGACTTTGAATTAAAAAAAAGAAAAACTATGGCCACTAGATGTACATGGTCATAGTTTTCAAACATTTGCATCATCTTTAAAGGATGAAGAGAGGCTGGCATTAGGTTGAGGAAGAACTTTTAATTAAAGTTTATATTTCAATCACAGATATTTGGGGAAGTGGTTCTATCTATGCATTCTTGAAATGTATATCATCAGCATAAAACCTAAGTCCATTGTGAAAGCTAGTTGTATGTTTTTAAGGAAGCGAGCCTTGATTAGGGCTCTGAGCATGTGAAGGTATTGTCTCTGGACCTCGATCCCTGGTAGTAAAACATGAGCTACGAGAAATGAAGACTAGTTGTAGAAATGTGATTATTTACATGTGAATTATTTACATGTAGAAATGTGATTATTTACATCAGTTTAAACTAGTGAAGTGCTACCTTGAAACCCAGCAAATGAATGAGTCATTATTCTCATATACTTCCTATTGTTCATTCTTTAACAATAATAGAAAAAAAATAGAGGTCTTTTATCTATCTGTACACAATGTTTTGTAAATGCAAGCAAGATCAAGGTAGTTTGGGTGGATATGTTAATCAGAAAAACATGTGACCTCAATGTTGCTTCTACAGTGTGCTGTGCTTTACACAACAATCAGTGGTCAAAGAAGACTTCGGATTCACAATCTTGGCTTAAACTGCAGCTCCCAGCTGGCTGATCTTTATAAGAGCTGTGAAACAGATGCTCTTATGAACTTCTTTGCCAAGTCAGGTAACACTTTGCCAATCCTGAGGTTCAGGAAACCTTGCTTAGTAATTCAGTCAAGGTAATTCAGTAGCTAAAAAGCACTGCAGTTTTGCAACCTTCTGGTGGGTAAATTCAGAACTAATACAAGCAAAGTCTGAGGGAGAATAGTCAGAATCTTAACTCTAAATTAATAAGTGAGATAACTCACTTCAGGGCCAGTCTATACAGACTTAGTTGAAGTTTCCTTCCGGAGTGGCAGTCTGAGTTGAAATTTAGGAATAGGATGCTCAGACCCTCATTATGGTATGTAATCATGTCCTCTGACACATTGGGTTAATGGATGAAACCACCTCTAATGCTAGACTAAACTTGCTTATCGATACCATGTTAACTATGAAATAGAATGGGCCCGAGGTGGACTTTTCTTTGGCTTTCCTTGAGAAATTCTACATACACTAAGGTTTGGAAAAGGTAGCAATCTAGTCCGTAAGAATTCAGGATATCAAAAAATGACAAATAGACCTGCCTTTTTTTCTGTGTGTACAATTTTAATACTCTGAAGATAAATCTGGCCAGTGTAACCTTTGCCGTAGGTAGGCCAATGTTCTCCATTAGCTAGATCATCATATTTAGTCAAGAAGAGACCATTAGCAAATGACTTGAACAGATTTAAATATTATTCTTGCTTGGTGGTCTGAAGATAATAGCAACTCGTTCCTTGTCTGATTATTTGAAGAGTCTGATTATTATTATCAGTGTCTCAGCTAAAACTGATGTCCTTTTCATTGTTTTGTGCACATAGCTTTTAAAGCAATTCTCCACCAGCCTTTGAAGGTCATCCGGGAAATTCTAGTTAATCAGACTGCCCATATGTTGGCATGTTACCGAAAGAATTGTGCCAGTCCTTCTGCAGCAAGCCAGGTGAGCTACCTATTGTACATAGATGTTGAACTGTTACAATCGACTACTCAGTTCTTCAGCACATAGCTGTTGAAGGCTTATGATGTTGCAGGCACTTAGATGCTGTGACTGTAATAGTAAACCACGTAGCTGAGAAGATTAAGAATGTTATATGTAAGAAGTGTCCTAATATAAACAGGATTCTCTTTTTTTATCCAGAGATGGGTATTTTGTTATGAAATGTGTATGCTTAAATACATTTTAGGCATAGTAACAAAGTTGACATGAGGAGATAGCACTAATAACATACTTTATAAACAAATATAATTTATAAATGTAAATACTGGAGTTCTTTACATTTAAAAGTTTTTAGTAGGTGTGAAGAGTTTTCAAAGAATTGACTGTCTCTATAATCTAGTAATTTGAAATTTTAGAAGATTCTTTAAATAAACCTCACTTAGTCTTTCTCCTATAAAACAAAAAGCAGAACCTCAAGCCCACATTTAATTTTGCATTTGTTCTTGTGTTCACATTCTCCTCTATGTCAATAAAAGTTAGATGGCATTTTTATAGCTGTGTATCAAATATGTGAATATAGAATTTCAATTAAGACAGCAACAGATGGGAAAACTTTCTAGTTTATTCATTGTCAAAAATGAGTGCTGATAGGACATCGATCTGAAGCCCCACCTAAAAGATTATCTTGGCAGAAAAGATAATGCAGATAAATTTGGGGTCCAAATTTATAATCTAGGCAAAGAAAGAAAACAAAACAAACACATTTACTCGATGGACTTTTCATAAAATTCCTTTCCATGCTGTCCAAAGTGATTAAATTAGTCATCCATTCTTTTATCTCCTCTGTTGATAATCATATAAGCAACTCTTGAATCTACATGAGTATTCAGTTCTCTTTATTATTCAGAAGATTTCCATTTTAGTCAACTCGAATATCAGTACTATTTCATAGCATGCTTGTTCAAGTTACACAAAAGCCTACCAGGTACACCTGGAATCTAGCCAAAAGAGTCCAATCATGAGCACTTTAAACATTTACTTCATTTTACTATTTGTCTTAGAGCTATGGAAACATTATTCTGATTCTGGAGTTTCTCACACTCCCGAAGGATTAGTTGAAGTAGTACAGATACAGTTAGTGTCCTCTCTGGACATTTATTTGTTAACTTTGAAACAACTGGATTCAAAGACCTTAAGCTGAAAACAAACTCATTGCCTACTTATGGAAGAAAATAAAACCTGTAATTTTATTCTGGTTTAAAAGTTTAAAGGATTGTCTCTACGACTGGATCACCTGTTTGCACAAATAAATTATGTCTGGAGTAAAAACATTATGATGTTAAATTTTCTATGAATAAGTTGATAGAGATTGTTCCTGTTTTTATAATAAGGTTTTTCCATGAGCACTTTTCAAGTGTGCCTTTGAACCAATAGTATGCTTAAAAAAAAATAATGTAACTTAAGTACCTTATGATTAACCAACCATCATGGAGTCTGGAAAATGTGGAGATTCTAAAACAGTATTATCTGAAAACAGAATAGTTGGACTTAATGTTCTCTTCAGAAAATCTTACTGTAGACTTGGTACTTTCCTACAGTTTACTTGTGAAAAACAGTGTCTATGGAGATGGAGCAATTCCTAAAGGAATTCCACTATTTTACCATAGAGCCCAAAGTTTCCCTGACCCAAGCAAGACCATTAAGGAGCTATTTAGATTGTATGATAATGAACCTCAATAGAACTACTTTTACTGAATTGCCAGAGCCAAAACTAGGCTGTAGCAAGAGAAGGCATTAGGGTACAAAATTTAAGGAAGCATTCACTCTGAGGATCGCATGATAGATGCTGAGTTAAGACATATGGCTGGGCATGGTGGCTCACACCTGTAATCCCAGCCCTCTGAGAGCCCAAGGCAGGTGGATCACTTGAGGTCAGGAGTTCAAGACCATCCTGGCCAACATGGTGAAACCCTGCTGCATCTACTAAAAATACAAAAAATTAGCTGGGCATGGTGGTACAGACCTGTAATCCCAGTTACTCAGAAGGCTGAGGCAGGAGAATAGCTTGAACGCAAGAGGCGGAGGTTTCAGTGAGCCAAGATCATATCATTGCACTCCAGTCTGGGCAACAGAGCAACTCCATCACAAAAGAAAAAAAAAAAGACCAAGTACACTGTCTCATGCCTGTAATCCCGAGGCTGGTAGATTATGAGGTCAGGAGTTCGAGACCAGCCTGAACAAAATGGTGAAACCCCGTCTCTACTAAAAATATAAACATTAGCCGGGCGTGGTGGCACGTGCCTATAGTCCCAGCTGCTCGGGAGGCTGAGGCAGGAGAATTGCTTGAACCTGGGAGGTGGAGGTTGCAGTGAGTCCAGATCATGCCACTGTACTCCAGCCTGGGTGACAGAGCAAGACTCTATCTCAAAAAAAAAAAAAGAAAAGAAAAGAAATATAACTAGAAACAATATTAAGACAAATTAGGCTGGGTGCAGTGGCTCACACCTGTAATTGCAGCACTTTGGGAGGTCAAGACAGGAGGAAACTTGAGCCCAGCAGTTCAAGGCCAACCTGGGCCCCCACCTCTACTAAAAATAAAAACTTAGGTGTGGTGGTGCACGACTATAATCCCAGCCACTTGGGAGGTTGAGGCAAGAGGATCCCTGGAGTACAGGAGTTCGAGGCTGCAGTGAGCCGTGATTGTGCTGCTGTCCTCTAGCCTGGAAGACAAAGTGAGACCCAGTATATTTAAAAAAAAAAAAAAAAAGCTAACTTTAAGGCTTATAAGTCTTACATAAGCAATATAGATTATTTTAAATCTAATAGCTCACTGTTCTGAGCTTAAGTATGTTAATATCATATGGAAGTGCATTGATTTAAAAAGGCAAGTCAAATGATCTTAACTGCAAAATAAATTTTTTTCTTAAAAAAAAAATTATTACTCTTCTGTCACTTCAAAACCTAAAGAAGAAAAGAATCTTCCAAATTCAGGCAAGTTCGACTTACATACATTACTGCTCCCACCTCACTCTCATTACCTTACTCCCAGAGAATAATTTAGTTATTTATACAGGGGTGCTAGTGGGGTGGGGAGATTTTATAGTGGAAATCCATGGCAACGTTTTCTTCTTCACTCAAAAACACTGAATAAAGTGTCTTTTTGTTTTCTTTCATTTTTTAACTCCATTTATTTTTGTTTTCATGATTAGATTTTCCTTCTCATTTATCAGCTGTTTTCTTTCCTCTCCCTCCTACAATCCAACCTCCTCTGATTAGACTTTTTAGTCCTAATAATGTCATTGTGGGCCAACCTCACCTCTTTGTGGCATTTAGGATCACAGATTTCTGAACTCTTAATATGACCTGATTAATTAGAAGCAGCCAGTGAAATTTCAATCTGATATTTTAAAACCAAATGTACATGCCTTATACAGGAATCTAAGCACATTCCTGATCCATAATAACAGGTAAAATGCCTAACTGGTAACTAGACCAGAAATAGCATGGGGGCCACATTGCTCTGGACTATGACCGTGATCTGGTTCCTACATCTTTTTATCATAGTTTTCCTTGGCTGAGAAAGTAACCCAGTACCAAATGTTGTTAAATAAAGATATATTATGCTAGAGAAAAAATTAGAAGAGAGTGTTCTACTCTTATGAATAAACATACATTTAACTGTCCTTGGTTCTTTGAAAGGAGATTAGAAGTCAACAGGGGAAACAAACTGCAAAGTAGAATCATTTTGAAATATGTTTGCCTGAGCCAGTTAGGAAGTTCTGTCCAACACTCTTTACTTAGTACATAATGAGAAGAGACCTATGATATAAATTTAAGTTGCAGAATAAATTCTAACAGAGCCTCAGGGACATTTTCTTTTCAGTATGGATTCTGATAAGTGTATATCCATCATCTTCATCATTAAGATAGAAAACTAAGCCAGGCACGGTGGCTCACACCTGTAATCCCAGCACTTTGGGAGGCTGAGGTGGGCAGATTGCATGAGTTCAGGAGTTTGAGACCAGCCTGGCCAACATGATGAAACCCCATCCCTACTAAAAACACAAAATTCACCATGCATTGTGGCACATGCCTGTAATCCCAGTTATTCAGGGGGCCGAGGCAGGACAATCACTTGAACCCAGGAGGCGGAGGTTGCAGTGAGCAGAGATTGCACCACTGCACTCTAGCCTGGACAACAGAGTGAGACTGTCTCAAAAATAAAAGTAAATAAAAAAGAGAGAAAGCTAAAAAGAAACCATGAATTTATAGACCAGATATTTCAGTTATCTGTTTGCAAATTATTATTATCTCCTATGTATAATTTTTCTTTTGGATATGTCCTTGTTCACTGACTTGTGCCATTAAATGGAAGGAAATGACATTCGGATCAGTCAAACTTAATTATTAGCTATTCTTACAATACTGATTTAGAAGAAAGTTAAATAATATAGGAAATTACAATTTTTTAAATCATCAGGTTGTGTTCCTAGAATTGCTGCACTGTGTTAGGTTGTAGTATCTCACAGGGCGTGTACTTTGGGCAGTTAGAATGAGGTCATATGAGCCAAAGTGAAGATGGAGAGAAGGTACAGGTAGATTCTGCCTTCAGAATTAGTCAGAATAAAAAGGATTTGTTTATTAATTGAGGGTAAAGAAATAAATGAATTAGGGTTCATCTGGAAGTTCTACACTGAATAGGAAACATGGGAGGAAGAACATGTTTGTGGAATTGTAGGAGTTTGATTTTGCAGGTTATCATTCAATAGTGACACATCTAAATGCATGAAGCATTTCCTTTTTTAATCTATAGTACTGTAATCTCTTTATTATGTTTTATGCATTTATACGTCTATCCCAGGCGAACTTCAAACATCTTACCATATGGACTATGCCTTATTCCTCTTTATATCCTTGACACTTTGCACAGAACCTATGACACAATGCCATTTATTATTTGTTTGATGAGTTTAAGATGCATGAAGAGCATGAAGGAAGAGACATCCTGTGGGCAGTTAGAAATGCTTTTAAGTTGGAAATATAGGTTAAGAAATCACTTTTTAAAAAAGTTTTATTTAATATATATATATATATATAAACATATATATGGTACATCCAATGTGCTAGGCACCATTGTGCTTTACAAATCATTTAATTCTTATTATAACTCAGTTATGAAGTAGATATACCATTATTCCATATTCAGCTAAAAAAAAAGAAAAAGAAAAAAAAGAAAAGAGAGGGCAAGTAATTTGCTCAAGGTCACACACCTGGTAAAAGAGCTGGAATTGCATCCTAAGCACTGAGTGGGTGGTGCTAACAGCTACACCAGGCTGCTGTAGCACTAGATAAAATAAAAACAACTGCTGCTCTTTGAATGCCTACTCTGTGCCAGATTACTGTGTGCTCTAGGTGCTTTACATGGGTTACCAGTTAATCCTTACATGTTCAAAAGCAAATGAAGTTTCAGTCTTACAGATGAAGCTCAGGATTGTTCTCAGTAATGATCAAGCATATGAAACCAAAAATTGTCTTTTTCAGCTTATTCTACCAGATTCCATGAAAGTATTGCCAGTGTACATGAACTGTTTGTTGAAAAACTGTGTGCTGCTCAGCAGACCAGAGATCTCAACCGATGAGCGGGCATTCCAGAGACAGCTGGTCATGACCATGGGTGTGGCTGATTCTCAGCTTTTCTTCTACCCACAACTTCTGCCCATAGTAAGCATGCTGGGGTGCTGCATTTCCTAGAGGGAGGCTGGAAGGGAATCCTATTTTGTACTTAAACCATATGTTATATCTGAAACATTTTGTTCTTAAGAGGAAAGTTAGTCACAAATGCCGTCAAAATGTATGGTGTGGGGTTTTGAGCGGGGGCTCTTTCTACAAGTTGCTTATGTGTATCAGTATGTGCTCACTATGGTGAGGGGAGGGAATCTGAGGAGTTCTGCGTCTCCTTCAGTCTGTTTTCAGCCCAGAAGATAGGCTGGGTGCAGTGGCTCACGCCTGTAATCCCAGCACTTTGGGAGGCCAAAGCAGGAGTTTGAGACCAGTCTGGCCAATATGGTGAAACCCCATCTCTACTAAAAATACAAACAAATTAGCTACCAGGGGCAGGGAGGGGGCTGAGGCAGGGGAATTGCTTGAACTAAGGAAGTGGAGGCTGCAGTGAGCCAAGATTGTGCCACTGCACTCCAACCTGGGCAACAGAGAGAGAGTCTGTCTCAAAAAGAAAAATAATTGTCAGCTTGTATCACTCCTCCACTCAAAACACTCCAGGATTTCCCATCTCAGTAAAAGCCCTAGCCTAGTGCTGTCTGCCCTCTTCTCCCCTCCCTTCTCTCTGAACTCTTCTGTTACTCTCCCTTTCCTCATCCCACTTCAGCCTTCGTGCTGATCCTCAAACACTCCAGCCGGGCCCTTCTTTAGGACCCTAGCTTTTCCTTCCATCTGAAATGGTCTTCTCCAGTTGTCTCCATGGCTCCTTCACTTACCTCCTCAGGATGCCTTCTTAAAAGCTGGTGGGCTCCCTGGACTATCCTAGTTAAAATTGTCCCCACCTTCACAAGCGACACACCTCATACCACTCTCTTGCATCTTTTCTTCATAACTCTTAGCACCATCTATACTCTGTATATTTTACTTATTTTATGTGTTGTCTTTTCCTCCCTGCAAAAAACTATTTGCTGCACAAGGTAGGGATTATTATCTAATGACTGGAATAAAGTCTGGCACATAATAGTTACTCACTAAATATGCACTGAGGGAGGGGAGGGAAGAAACAGGAAAGGAAGAGAGGAAGGAGGGAAGGGAAGGGGAAGAAAGGAGCTTCTAACTCTCTTGTCTGTGCGTGCCCAGCACACATTAGATGTCAAGAGTACAACATTACCTGCTGCTGTTCGTTGCTCAGAGTCCCGTCTTTCAGAAGGAGGAATATTCTTACTGGTCAATGGTCTACACATGTTCCTGTGGTTGGGAGTAAGCAGCCCACCAGAACTGATCCAAGGAATATTTAATGTGCCGTCTTTTGCACATATCAACACAGATATGGTAAGTATTTTTTTCATTGCTTTTATGGTAATATGAAAAATATCAATTCTTAAATGTTTTTACTTATGTGCAGTCAAATATTATAGAAAGAAACAATAAGGCATATATTTCTGTGTATGAATGAAAAAATTTCATGTTTTGATCAATATCAATTAGCTGGCTTAAAGTTATTTGTATAGAGTACTTTCAAACAACTAAAATATATGACTTTAATAGAAAATGCTAATACTTCCAGATCATTAACTGTGTGCCAGTCTCTGTACTCTAAATACTTAAATATACCATACCTGAGATGGATATGGTATCAACATTTTATAGAGGAATCAATTGAGGCTTAGAGCCAAGCTCCTTCAGGTAGTAAAGTGGCAGAGATGGAAACTGAATTTAGTTCTTATGCTCTGGGCTCATCCCTCGTGCTAAACTGCATACTCAAAAGAATGTAGAAATCTTTCATAGGTGTTTGACTACAGACTAAATCAAATTACTGAGTTAACAAAATAACAATTCCATAAAAACAGATTATATACCCCTCTGTTGCAATTACAAGAGAAATTGTGGGTTTGATGTTAAATTAATAAAAATGACTATTTTAAAGCATCTTAGGAAAACGCAGCAATTATAATTTGTACAAGAATCAACATTTATTGCAAATCTTATTTGTAGACCATGTTGCATGAGCATCACTGCCAGATGGCTATTGTCTGACTCTGATAGTGGATTCCAGTAGAGCTCAGCAGTTAGTTTGTTCCCCAAAGTCTCACTTACACTGTGGCAAGATGGCTTACGTCTAGTTGTTGAACCCAATGGTATGAAGTACAATTTATCAATATATGTATATAGCATCTTGCAGAAAAAGACAGGATTAAAATTCAAGACCATGATAGGTAATCAGTTTAGAGAGCTGCATATTCATTAGGAATGTCTAAAGTATTTTTAAAAGAATTCAAGGGTATCCATATTCCAGTTAGAGACTAGTTTTAAGATGAAGATTTAGAAATAGTAAGATATCTGCATATGTTTGAGTTAAGAAATAAGAAATGTAATTTAAAAATAAAATTCAGTAGGCAAAGAACTATGAGTCTTAAGAATGTTTATATAAAAGTTAAGGGAGCTTCCTCTTATATTGACATAGTAAATGCTCAATGCATAGTTGCTGAACTGAACATCCAAAGGAAATAGCCAGTCTCTCTACCACATGGCAGCAGATGTAGGGCTGTGCTTATATCTGCATACCTTTCCTTGACTTTCATCAACAAAATGAAACAAAGTTAAAAACTAAATGTGAGCTACTTTCTTTTTAAAGGCAGTTGGCACTTTAATGAATTTTTTGCTTTCCTTACTCCTGTGAAAAATATTGACCGTAAACTTTTCCTGACACTTGAGGTTTATGGTGAAACATTCTAGCTCACATATTCTCTGGCTAACTCACGATGATGCATTGGCTCTTGGCATCTTCTTGCTGAGAAGCAAACATTAGCATTTTACTCTGTCTTAATGGAATAAATGTAAGTCAAAATCCTTCATATCTCCGGGATGCCATGTGCAGCTGGATTGGTCTACAGACCA